AGATATGTGTGCTAAGGGCAGATCCAGAACACAAAAAGTGAGTCCAAAAAAATTAGGGCGTGGGGTTCGGGGCGTTAGGCCAAAAAAAAAAACATGTTTAGCGTCCTGCCTTTTTGAAAAAAAGGAAGGAGGAGACCCTTTTTTCCCCTTCCAAAATGGCCGCCCGACCGGGCTATTTTTCAAGATGGCCACCAGCTTTTTTTTTTAAATGGCCGCCACTTGGACTCAGGAATGACATGCCAGCTTTACTGGCTAGATGCAACAGACAAAGAGGCCAGAATGATGTCACTGTTTAAAATGTATCATTTTTTCGTGATTTAAAAAAAGAAAAGAAAAAAAGAGGGGGCCTTCAGAAAGGAAGTGGGCCGGGGATGCTGAACTTTTGTATTTTTTTATTTGGCCTTAAGCTTAACGGCCCGGAAACATTTTTGGATTCTCGATGCTCTGTGGTGCGATTTGACCACTTTAACCAAATCTTTTTGAGAAAAAGATGGTGGTGTATGCAGTGACTGCCTTCATTGCCACGTCACTTAAAACAAAATTAAAAATTTGGAAAGCCCATGGCTCCCGTTGCCAGGGAGACTGAAAACAAATTTGCTGAAGATTGAAAATTATTAGTCAAGTGCCTCCCCTATCAATTTTCCTTAAGGCCTATAGATTAAAAAAGAAGAATGGGCATTTGTCATTGTTAAAGAAACACAAACATTTTGCTGATGAGGGTTTCTTACCCCAAACGACTTATGGACTAGCCCAAAAAATCTAACCTCATTTCCCGCTTAAATATTCCACCTTGATTTTCTACTAGTAAAAAAAAAATGAAATTTGGTTTATGGTATCAAACGTTCATTTTTCTGCTAGTGGAAATTCGTAAATTTGGTTTGGTCATAATAGTAGAAATTCGGAAATTTGGTTTGATCGTAAATGCAATTTCCGATTTTCTGCTAGTAGAATTCGGAAATTTGGTTTGGTCATAAACGCAATTTCTGATTTTCTACTTGTGGAAATTCGGAAATTTGGTTTGGTTGTAAACACAATTTCCGATTTTCTGCTGGTAGAAATTAGGAAATTTGGTTTGTCCACTTTTGAACGCAATTTCCGTTTTTCTGCTAGTAGAAATTCAGAAATTTGGTTTGATCGTAAACGCAATTTCCGATTTTCTGCTAGTAGAATTCAGAAATTTGGTTTGTCCACTTTTGAACGCAATTTCCGATTTTCTGCTAGTAGAAATTCGGGAATTTGGTTTGGTCGTAAACGCAATTTCCGATTTTCTGCTAGCAGAAATTCGGAAATTTAGTTTGGTCGTAAACGCTCCTGATGATTTTCTGTGCGTTGAAATTCGTAAATTTGGTTTGTCCTAGCTCTACTGAGTGGAGCGTTGAATTACGGGTACTCCTCCATACAAACGCTCCACCGATTTGCCATACTTTGGTGATGGCGTCACAGTAGCATAGTCACATACCCACGCGAGGAGACGGCTGAAACGTATTTTAATAACAATGGGATTTTCATTTGTCAGTATTAGTAGTAGTTCTTTGATACAAGTTTCATGTGGGTATCTGTCGTCATTAATTTGTTCATAATTTAGAACGTGTACGCTTCAGCCGTCTCCACCTTGCGTGTGTTCAAAGCCCATACTGTCGTACGGCGTGGATCGGAGCACGTATTATTACACGAAACAGTCGTTGATAAAGCGTGACTTGTTTTTCTCAATCCAGGGTAACTGTCTCTCTCATTTGTATTCTCTTTACCGGTTTTTGGGGGTCTTTTTGTCCTCGCGTGGGTTTGTGACTATGCTACTGTGACAGTGCCACCAAAGTATGGCAAATCGGTGGAGCGTTTGTATGGAGGGGTACCCGTAATTCAACGCTCCACTCAGTAGAGCTAGGTTTGTCCACTTTTGGACCGCCTGTGTACAAGAAAATAAAACATCAAAATTGTTGACAAAGTTCGACATGTTTTGTACATGGTCAGATGGTGGAAGTGTGGCCTTTATTTACCGAGGTAGTCCAGTAAATTGGCCACATAATGGGCTAATGGAATGTCATGAATGTGTAGATCTATCCAGGGCAGCTGTCTCTCTATTTTGTATTCTGACTATTCTCTTTACCGATTTTATTGGGGGTCTTTTGTCCTCGCGTGGGTATGTACAATTTGCTACCGTGTATCCGTCATCAAATTATGGCAAATCGGTGGAGCGTTAGTACGGAGTCGGATGGTACCGTAGGCTCCACTCAGTAGAGCTAGAGAGATGGACTCCATTGCGTGTACTCCTAGAACTATGAGGCTCCACGTAAAAATTGTTATCAACACAAAACACTAATTAAGTACAAAAACGTCCATCCCAACCAAGCTGTTTCCCACAGAACCACTGCACAGTTTGCCCCTAAACTCCGTACAATACCTCATGACATACTCACGTTATGTGCACCCAACAAACATCGGTGGATTCTGTCTGTTTTCGGCAAAAATGTTGAAAAATATGCCCTTTCCTATTGAGCCAACCTAACACTTGAAACGAGCACGCGCGCAGAATGATCGCAGTCATTTTCGGTTCGATCGCTCGGAGCGCGCCGCGGGGGGTATGGTGTAGGAGCGGAACGATAGTATGCGCATGCGTACAAGTGCAAGTATGTACCCCCCGCGGCGCGCTCCGAGCGCCCTAACCCGAAAATGACTGCGATCATTCTAAGCGCGCGTGCTCGTTAGGTTGGCTCAGTGCGGAAAGGGCATATTTTTCATCATTTTTGCCGAAAACAGACAGAATCCATCGATGTTTGTTGGGTGCACATAACGTGAGTATGTCATGAGTTATTGGGTATCGGGACAACTCGTACCCAGGACAACTCGTACCCGGGACGACTCGTACCCCAAATTTGTGACCTGGGACAACTCGTACCCGAGACGACTCATACCCGGGACAACTCGTACCCGGGACAACTCGTACCCGGGACGACTCGTACCTTGTACTTTTCTTACCATTTACTTTTCTGTTCCTTTTTAGTTAGATGTAATTGACAAATCCGAAGATGTGGAAAACCAAAAGCTGTTGAGTTTTGGGGAATTGCCAGCGGTGACAAACAAGAGATTGTTCTGGAGAGATTCTGGCAGCTGGCCGATGATCGAGGAGTTCGCCGAATTCGCGGAAGGAGCTATAGCAATCATGAGCTTCGTAACTTATTTGATCTTCATTTATTGCGAAAACTTATTTCTAAAATAAGTGGACCGAGTCATTAAAATTATAAAAATGTTACATATGTCACCTTCTACACTTTTTATGACATTAATTTTGATAACCATCAACAATCCCAGTAGCGTGTCAGTCTTTTGCATAATTATGTGAAATAATTCAAAAGTCACTTAATTAGAATTGTTAGCTTAGTGAGTAGCGTGAGATGCCATGTTTCACGTGTCATTGTGCTCTTTTCAGAGCCACCACATATTCCGAAAAGAGATTGCGTCAATGTTTCTGAAACAGAACGAAAATAAAACAGTATTAAAAAAAAAAAATCTTCAGGCCAACAACAGAGAGACCTATTTAAATGAAAAACTTCTTCTCTATTTAAAAATGAAAAATGGAAATAAAATAATTGAATAATAATTGGTTAAAAATAAGTATGATAACAGTCGGCACAAGTAAAGGCACAGATACGAGTACGCTGCACAGTGTTTTATTTTCAGACGAGTACGAGTTGTCCCGGGTACGAGTTGTCCCGGGTACGAGTTGTCCCGGGTACGAGTTGTCCAACATTCAGTTATTGTACGGAGTTTAGGGGCAAACTGTGCAGCAGTTCTGTGGGAAACAGCTTGGTTGGGATGGACGTTTTTGTACTTAATTAGTGTTTTGTGTTGATAACAATTTTGCGGGGTTCTGCCTCTATGAGTGGAGCCTCATAGTTCTAGGAGTAGGATGGAACGCCCTATTATCGCGGTACCTATCACGTTTCTCGTTCGGAATAGAGATTGCCCACTAACCTTCCAGAATTGTCCTGTCTTATGTGTAGTATAACTCTTCCTTTTTAAATTAATATAAAAAAACCTGACAGGTAGTGTGGTTTATTCCGTGTACGATGCCTGTGAAAATAGACATGCGCGGCGTGTGCGAACGGAGGTGGACTCCCTATTATCGCGGTATGCGGGAAGTGGTTTTTATAATGATCCCAACTTTTTTGTTCATAGTTTATGTTTGACCAAAACACCCACTGAATAAAGTCTGATATTTTCCCTGTAACGTTCAAGTTGATTAAAGACAAAATGTCTGCAGGATGATTTCTTAAGACCCTGCCCTTCTCCCGAAAGGAGAACACAAATCCCTGAGGCAAGTCTACTGATCGGCGATTGAGGGCGCCATTCACTTTACACGGTGTGCCGTTTTATTTTCGCTAACGCGCGGTGCTTATTTTGATCCCGTAAAAGTTGTTACGATTTCGCGCTGCAAATATCGTCGTTCGACTTCATTTTACATTTGCAGCTGAAGAATGGGAACCAGACAATGGAACTTTCATGGACAGAGCGCAATTAAAGTTTTATGTTAAAATATAAACGGTACCTTTTAGCAGACACGGTAAGGGAAAATTTTGCAAGTTTTGGAAAACGTTAATATTTATTAAAATCGTTAAAAGTCCCGAAAGACACAACATTTTTTAATCGTCCTTTTTATACAACTCGGTAGAAAATCCTTGATGACTGGTGAACTGGACAAAAATCGCCACTTGAAGGAGTTTTGACACTGTAAAAAGAGAAATTTCCCATGCCGCGATAATAGGGATGCCGCGATAATAGGGAGTCCGACTATACGTTGCGTGTACACACTGACACAACGGAGTCCAACCTGGGCAACTCCAAACCATGCAACCCTCCCGTCACGAAATGTTCGGCCCCAATATTTCACATGTATTATCTTGACATGGCTAGGTACCTATAAGGTGGGTTCAAATCCCTGAAATGTCATGTGAAATGGTGAAAATTACTGAAATTACGACGCCTACGAAAATTTCGCTTACCCAAATGAGACGGGAATCTCCACTTACGCTACTTGCGGGCGCCCTCTGCGGTCTGGTATAGTCTCGTCGTCCTCGTCATTCATCGCGCGCCGATTATAAGACATGATCATGGAGGTAGGTCATCGACAAGGTTTACATTTTTTGATCAGCATTTCAAGAATTTTCAGAATTTGGTCATGGTATATTTGTACCTGTGGTGAGAAGCTAGCTAGGCATTTTGAGATTACAGTCAACTCGACCGTTTGCCAACTCAACTCGAACCAACTCGACCGTTAACAACACAACAGGTTAAATAGCCCCATAAATGTGGATGCTGTGCCCATTCTTGAAAATCACGCATTCTCGAGAATGGGCGCGCATTCTTAAGAATGAGCGCCCATTCTTAAGAACGAGCACGCGTTCTTAAGAATGAGCGCTCATTATTAAGATTGGGCGGGAATATCACGTGCACAATTTATGAATTTTGCCCAATCTTAACAAACATTGCACGACATAATTATGTTAAATGAATTGTATAGCGGTTAAAAGGGAAACAATTCATATACAGAGGAAAGAAAATGTTCTATGCTTCTATTCGTATAACTACGATAATTTGAATCAAATTAAACCTGTTATTATTGCTTTTTTTCTGCCCACTATGGGAAGTTTTGTAATAACGGAGGACTGGGAACTAGTCTGGGAAGTGCTTTGTTTAGGCTAGACAAGTTACAAGTCCCTGCATGTATCATATGCGTGCCACGAAAAAAAACCGATGTCCAGAAGCTGCCAAAATTGCTCTTTTGACTAGATAGAATCCAGCTCTGCGACGTTATGGTGGGGTGTGAACAATAAATTGGTGGCAATTTAAATGGGAAATAGCATTAGCACTATGGGATGTCGCAGTATTCATTCTCATTCTTCACATTCTTCATTCTTACGTCCCCCCCCCCCCCGCTTTTATTATCCCAAAAATCAGAATTCTTTGCACTAGTATTATTATGTCTCTAATTTTTTCCGGTCCCCCCCCCCCATATCAATACGCCTTTACTTTTCATATCCACTCTACTTTTCAGCGCCTTGCGTTGCAACAGTATAATTATTGAGAATCAGTGAACGAGGATTCAGCTAGACTTGCCAAGCGCAGCCGGTGCTCAGCATCGACAAGACCGTTATCTTGTCGCGCATTCTCAAGAATGTGCGCTCAATCTGGAAGAGTTATTTTTTGCCAAGATTGAGCAAGGATCCAGTTGCACATTCTCAAGAATGTGCATGCCCATTCTCGAGAATGCGTGATTTTCAAGAATGGGCACAACATGGCCAATTTACATGATTTACTGGACTACAGCAGTATAGTCGTGTTCCCTAACGTGGCGCACTTCGAAGCTTACCCAAATTTCCTCGTGTAGTGTTGCCAAATCTCTTTGTTGACAAACCTCAAATTCATGCAGTGAAATACTGGTACTTTTACCTTATTAATGCTTGCTGTTTAACCTCTGTGAACAATTTCGGTTTCATAAAATTTAAGCCGAAATTAAAAAACGGTGGCGTCCGGAAATTGGGCACAATTTGGCGGAGTGTTCCCTAACGTGGCGCACGTAAATAAATCTCGGAAAATTCCAAATTAACATTTAAGAATTTCTGAAAACTTGATAAATTCTGATAAATCATTATTATCTCTACTTACATACCCAGCCAGATGTTTGTCACAAAATTATTTTCTTATATTTCGGGGCATTTTCAAAGGGTTCGCTTTGCACTTGAAAATAAAATCGGAAAATCACGCCAAAATAAGTTTTTCTTTTAACTTTGTAGCGGGTAAATAAATTCGCGATTTATGAACGGGAGTGTTTATAACTTGATGAAATTTCACTTTCTGTGAAATTTCAGTTAAAACTTTTGCTCTAGCTAGGTGCTACAGGCGAAAAATCAAAGTGCGCCACGTTAGGGGCCGCGCCACGTTAGGGTACATCAACAATACAGGCACACTTCCACCTAGCCCCATAAATGTGGCCTATTTACTGGACTGCCTATGTTTACGGAGGCAGTCCAGTAAATAGGCCACATTTATGGGGCTAACTTCCACCAACCATGTACAAAAACATGTCGAACTTTGTCAAATTTTGATTTTCACATTTAGGCTTATTTTGTAGTTTATTTTTGCTTTAGAAACATACTCACCCTCTTTATAGGCTAATCAGAAAGTGCTGCCTTTTTTAGATGTCTAATTTTCGTGAAATTTCATGTTGAAATTTTGATACGCAAATGTGTGCAAACGAATCTGGAAATTTCACGAAAAATAGACATCTGAAATAAGTGAAAAAGGCAGCACTTTCTGATTAGCTTATAAAGAGGGTGAGTATGCTTCTAAAGCAAAAATAAACTACAAACTAAGCCTAAATAGTAAATGTGAAAATCAAAATTTGACAAAGTTCGACATGTTTTTGTACATGGTGGAAGTGTGGCCTTTATTTACATTTGTGGGGCTAGTTAAATACCAACTCGACCGTGGACGTATCGTCATACGTTCAGAATAGCTTGAGTAACTCCAGCTTAACAAGCTCATCAAGAATTCACATCATGTGAATTCCTGATGAGCTTGTAGGTGTATTTATAGCACAACTCGGTGACTGTTTTATGTATTTAGTCAGCTTACAGTAAATAGTCGTCTGATATTCAACAAAGAGTCGTCGGATCTCAGCTCGAAATTTGTTAAAACTAGAAACAAAATGGCGGCCGTGCAATGCAATTTTGACGGAAAACAAGCTCTCAGCTCAGTGGACTGTAGGCCTATAGCTACTTTGAAATTTCAACTGCAATATTCCAGTCTAATTCATAATTATTCAATGAATTGTCTATTTACAACTTTACACACATTGCCTCGGTATTATAATCTCGTTTATGTTATGTTTATGGCATTAAACTGGCTAAGAAAGAGACTCTTCTTATTATGCGATGACCACTAGACACGTTGTAACTTGCGACGTGTTTTAAGCCGTTGTCAAGGAACTTACGACACGTTCAACACATCGCAACTTTGGTGAAATGGATGATACGACGCGTCGCGAGTTGCGACGTGTTACACGTCGTAACTCGAGTTGCGACGCGTCGCAGTGCTTTGTTAAATCGGGTGCTGGGCCTGCAGAAGTTGAAAATTTGACCGAAAGGTGACCTTTTATATAAATAAACATAATTTGACACTAAAAATGACTGAATGTTTCACTGGATTTTGCCAATTCAATTGTTATATTTCTGAAACACAAGCTCGTATAAAAATACATTTATTTATTAGTTGGACAACGGTCGAGTTGACTTTTCCAGTTGAACGTACAATGGTCGTGTTGGACAACGGACGAGTTGGTAAACAGTCAAGTTGACTTTTACAGTTGAACGCACAACGGTCGAATTGGTTCAACAGACGAGTTGGTAAACAGTCGAGTTGACCTGACACTGCATTTTGGAGCTTTAAAGTCTTGCAACATTTGTACATGCACACGTCATATGCTCAATGCATGTAAAACGTGAAGTATTCAAGGTACCATGCACACTCAACAACAAACATATTTGTCCCCAAATGCTGAGTACTTTTTTTAATTGAATTGAATTTTGCAGATGATGATGAAGAATGGAAGTAAACACTTTTGCGGAAGCAAGCCCTCTTGCTGGAAAAATGGAACCTTGATGAAGGATGGTTTAATCTGGAGACGAGTGGTTTGAAAAACAAAACGCAACATGTACAAGAAAAAAAAAATTGGATCCCATCATCACATATGTTTAGTTTCACATTGAAGGAACTTCAACCCTGGAAGCAAGCAAACAAACATGTTTCATCAGTTAAAAAAGTTACCAAGTGTATTCCCAAGGAAATACCCACCTGGTGAATATTCATGTATCTGGTACATGGTACATACAACTAGTTTGTTCTTATCTCCTGTGCATTGCTTTGAGAGTTTTCTTGACAAGGAATTTGCGAAGGCCCAGAGAGACTTGGACACTGATACATTGGATGCTCCTGGGGCTCTTTTGCAAAAGTTTGAAAGGTTTGTGGATTGGTTTTTATTACATACGGGCTTACTTATTTTGAACATATTTGTTTTATTCTGAGTTATTTAACACAAAATTTATATCTGATGGAAGTGTCTTATAAATTTTACATAATGTATCTGCAGTTACGGCACAAGCATTGTCTTTGTAGATGGCAGTGGGTTAGACCTGCAAGGCGTACAAACCTGATTAGAATTGTCCTTAAAAGTACAATGTACATGTACATGCAGCGTTTTTTTTTCGGGGATATTGTTATGTAAAAGAAAATGTATGGTCCTCTGAATTGAATTCTTGTATGCCGCATGTTTTTGTTTATCTTTCTTCCCCTTTACCTTTATCATAGGGATCAGAGACAGAGGATTTGGGCAACCAAAAGAGCCCGTGCTGCTCGCTTGTTTCAGCCACCAAAAGAACCACGCAGCATCAGCTGGGACACTATGGAACAGATCCGCTACCTGAAGCAGGAAAATGGTGATGAGTGGACCACTAAAAAATTAGCAGCTAGTTTTGGTATAACGGAGGCATTGGTAGTCAAAGTGTTGAAGAGCAAGTTTGTAGCCACAGAGAAGAGGCGCTGGAAGCAGGATGAGAGGGCTAAAGTCAATGCTGGTCTCCTCCTGGAAAAGACTACCAGAGCAAGTGGGCATGCTGAGATTACAGGTACATGTACACAGAACAAGAAATCTTTGCTCTCAGCGTCATCAAAAGCCAGTCCAACAAACATTGTAAAGGCAGTTGGTACAATTCCTCTCTCAAATTTTCAACCCACAAAAAAACAAGTTCTAGAGAGAAACTCAAGTTTTTTTCAAAAACGATCAGTGACTATCTCAGGTCAGAGGTCACGAGACAAATTCCAACCAAAGGGGCAGTCTGCTTTCAATGATGCCAACCAGCATACCGGAAACAGAACATCCAAAGTACATGTATGTGCCACCACTAAGCGCCGCCATTCTCAGTTGTGTCAGGTCACCAGCAGCTGGTAGATGGAGCTTGCACATCTTTGGATTTTGAATTCAGGAAAGGCCACATGACAAGGCAGCACTCAAGACATCCCCGGTCAGATCAAAGGAAATGTACATGTGGAACCAGACATTGAAGGATGTATGATGAGGGAGATACATGTATTGATATCAATATGAAAGATTTGCAGTATTAGGACAAATTACCCGCAGCTCGGATCATTAGAAAGGGGAATGAATTGTTTGATGAAATACATGTATACAGTAGAAGTGGTGTAAAGTAGAAGCTGGAATACAAGTGTAGGAACAAGGAAGTTGCATTGAGGACGAGGGGCTCTCATTGCGCTTTGAGTCAACTTTAAGGAAGTTTGAACTTCAGAAAATTGTCCTGTCTTGCAGCGGGCCTGTTCATTTCCTCTGCATATTACGAGACATACAATTACTTGCCTCACCAGAGGAAGCTCCGAATATTGGGTTTCCTGTCCAATTAAACAACTCATTGATTGTATCAGACAAATTATGTGTTCCATTTGAAGTGGTTTCAAGGAGTTGGTATGAATACAGTTTCTGATTTTGTTGAAATGTTTTAAAATTGAGGGTATGCAAAAAAAAATTCATGTAAGGAAATTCCAATTCGTTTGTGGGATTTTGATTTTGCTCCAAGTAGGCGAATTAGTTAAAATAAGTACTTGTATCAATTTTCAATAATACAAAATACAAGTAACTTAATTTTTACAGTTTCATTTCGCAAAATGTTAATACACATGTAGCGATATGTAAATCAATTTCATTTAAAGGTAGAGTAGATCACTTGTCATTTGTACATTTTGTTTCATTTGAAGCAACAAAATCTAATGACGGATTCTTAAAGGGAATATACAACATTTGCTTTTGCTGTTATTTTCAGAAATGGATGGATTTGGGGGTTAGTATTTCATAGCAAATACAGTTACATTGACTTGTGTAAAGTTTTTTGTTTGTAGATTCTGGAAAAACCAAGAAAAACAATCATTTTCTTGTAGTCTGGTTCCCTCACCCCACTTCAGACGAAACGGAGCAATTTATAGACGTCTGGGAATTATAAGGTCAGGAAACCAGTCTAGCTGGCTTGTATCTGTTCAGAGGAGTGTATAAAAATCGATTTCAAACAAAATGTGGACTAACTAAATATGGTAAATTGGGGGCAGTATTTGAAAAAAGCCAGTGTTTTTCTAACGCTGGTCGGCCTACCAGCGTTGCAAATTGATACAAAAATACCACTTTTCTTGAAAATGTCGGCACACCAGGTGCCATGATTTTACAGGATGCTTTAGACTGTCATTCACTAACAGTCCAGTAATGATTTGGTAGTTTTGTTTTTTGATGTTTGCAAATGTTGTATATTTCGTTTATCAACTAACCTGATGAACTTTTTGCTCTGTGAATGCTGTATATTCCGAGAAAACAATATTCAAAACTCTCGATTTCAATTCAAAAGTTGCCGAGTCATGTTTTGAATTGCGCTAGAAATCAGCGCCCGGGACATGTTTCATTCAGCAATACAACGAATAATAACAACCACGCGCATAATGTGCGCCTCACGTGAACGCTTGTGCGCACCCATTCACGGATACGCCGAATTACAAACCATCTACTAACAGAAATATCCAAAATTCGTTTCTTGACTTATCTTTGGAAATGACTCTTTTATTGTTTCCATCAAAATGACAGCATGCCAGAACGAATAACTTCACGGGAAGTTTAGTGTCATTACTATCTTTAAACCCAGAGAGCTTTTAACAATATTTGGTCAGTTTTTTGATAGCTCCCAATTGTATTCGTGTAAATTTACAAATATGTGTACATAACATAATCGTATACATGTGCGTGTTTGGGGTTTGGTTGATGGAATAATGGAATACGCACGATGTTGGTCGTACAGCGACTTTATTCTAACAATCGAACAACTAGACTACCGTAATTACAAGAGAGAATTCGGAGACATGTGTCTCGTTTGATGGTTGAAAGAAGAGTGAGCGAAGAAAGTAATAAAGGAGAGTGAGTGAAGAATCTAATAAGTAAGGTGGGGCTGATGACTATCCAATTTAAAAGCAATAAAAACTAGAGACCAAAGGAATGTACTAATGGACTTTGTGGCTAGGTGATAAAATGTGGTAAGAGGGACAAAGTAATAAAAGTGGGGCTTGGCTCAGTAATAGTTATCAATCAATTAGGGAGATTGATACCATAGGGTCATAACTTTTACCCACCACTGGACTGTTGCTGGGGGCAATGTACGAGGGGTTAAAAGTTCACAAATTAAGGTATAATTATATGGAAGAAAACGCTACACGTGTACATATACATGTACATGTACTTTTCATTACCTTTTTATTTGGGTGACATTTCAAACCGTTTACTTTGATATACAAATAAAAATCAGTATGTATACATGTACAATGTTTTGTCGGAAGCTGTCTGGCCTTTATTCTTTCACTTCGACATTTCCTTTTTTGTGTGTTTAACTGTCCAGTTATGTATGTTTCATAGTTCTTTCCGGCATGATTTTTTTTCGCGATGTTGTACATTTGAGTTAACATGTTGGTTAACTTTTTGGGGGGGGGGGGCGCCAAAAATTTTTGGTCCCCCAATAAGTGGGTCAAAAAATTACGGCGGGGACCGGGGGTTGGGGAATTTTTGGATTCTAGATGCTCTGTCAATGGTGGGATCTGAGGCAATTTCGGACCACTTTAACCAATTTTTTTTAAGGAAAAGATGGTGGTGTACGCAGTGCCTGCCCTTATTGCGACGTACTTGAACAAAAATTGGTTTGGTTTTTTTTTTGGGGGGGGGGGGGAGGGGGCATGGCCCCGTTGAAAAGACAAATTATGACCATTTTATAAGGGTGATTAGGTCGTACCCGATCACACTTTTAAAATGGTCATGATGATCAACCCCATCACCCGGGGGGGGGGGGGGGATACCAAAAAGGGGCACTTGCTCAGAAAAAGGGGCACCTTCAGTCGGTGTGAAAGTGGAGGCAAAATTCCCGTTCATTTTGCTATAAACCTATATGATTATTAGGAACATTTATGAATACGTTGTCCACGTTGTTTCTTTTACCTACATGTAGTTATGGAGAAAGACCATTTCCCTTTATCGCGAGAGGGGCACTGTTGCTTTTGATGGCCAGTTCAGTGTCCATTTTGTTCGCGTGAAGAGCACTTTTATTTTTTAGGGGCCAGTTTTCCATCCCGAGAAGGCGCAAAATCTTGTTAATGAGAGAGGGGTACTTGTGTTCTTGAGGGGCAGTTCTGTATTACAAGAGAGGAGACAATTTTATTTGTAGCGCGATCATAATATGCTTTCATATACGTGTGCGTTTGACGGGCAGTTTTGTTTTCATCTCGAGGGGGAACATTAATAACCGCGAGAGCGGCACTTTTGTTGGCCTGAGGCAAGTGCCCCCTGCCCCCCCCCGGTTTTGCCGCCCCTACCCCCTTACCCTCAAGACTAGAACCCATAGCCACGCCCATGCACGGTAGATCTTGGATGTCGTGCCACCACAATGACATGGCCCATACAACTCAGATGCTGGCTCTCTGTATCATAAAGTTCTTTTGTAACTCCTTTACTTTTGCCCTTGACTGTGCAACAATGAAGACCCTGACCCTTTTTATACAACTACCTCACGCTTTGTTTACACGTGCGCTTTCTTATGGCGGCTCTCGTCCCCACTTTGCTCCCATGTAGACCGTGGGCCAAATTGAACAAACCTTATGTTATTCCTCCATGGTTGTATTCAAAATCAGACTCAACTCGTTTGGTTGGTTTCTCACATTAAAAGTCGTTAAAAATACAAGAACGATTATTAAAGGATGTTCTGGAGAATCGATTTAGTTGTTAACATATGAGAACTAGAAATTACAACGGAACTTGAGTCACTGATTTTTCAAGTTTTCGAACTGGCTATAAGAAACAGTTAGTCTGGTCCCTGTCCGGGAAATTAGTGTAAAGATATGTGGCGGGGTTTTGGAATCACGTCCCAATAAACAAAACGTCGGAAGACGACCACGCACGAAGGAGAAACCCCCCCCCCCCCCCCCGAAGTTTCGGTGTGAGGTCATTATGTATATAAGCCTGTTATGTTACTCTTTGTAGTACCGCGCACAGGTACTACACTGTGATGTGGGATATGACGTTTTAAGCTCTGGCTGGAGAATCTACATGTCATGGTGGTCGGTTGCCTCGGTCGGTCGTCTGTCTGTCCCCGAAAATTGACCAAAAACAATTGACCAAAAGTGATTGACCAAATGCCGTGCCGTGGTCATAAAATACACTCTTGCTGACGGTTTCGGAGCAGCGATTTTGTTTCGATCGATGCGCATGCGCGTTTATTGTGCATAATGTCTTAGTCTGGTTCCCAGACCAAAAGATTCTGACTATTCCGGATGAATCTTAGGTCAGGCCCATTGATCTCCATATCAGGCAGCCTCCGTGGCTAAAAATAAACATGACGACATTGACAACCTTTTTTCAAAGCTCGTTTCCGATTTCGCTTTATCACTTAAAGCTTTTAATGTTCCGATCAAATTTTTAAAATCAAATCACTTGCTTCATATATCCTGTAAGAAACCATTCACTAACTTTCACCTGGAATCTTCCAAAATAGACACCAAAATAGCACTGTTCGCAGGCGGAGCCGAATTGAGACCACGCCGAGTTTTGGAAAATGCCAGTAACGGTCGTCAAATTCAAACTAGTACATGACGCAGCAAAAAGTTCGCCCTCGTATACGATCCGAGTACAAAATCGTCGTTGAATTTCAAGTTTTCTAAATGAAAGCAATGGATATTAATTATGAACTAGTTTTTTAAGTTTTTAATAAGCAATTAGCAGTTAATAAAACCTATATACTCGGAAATACTCGGGCACTATCCGATTGTCGACGAAATGAATTCGGCAAACTTCGGACATTTTCGGAAAAAGGAGGAATTCCTCCCGTTTTAGTCAGGTGACATAAATTGTAATACAATGTATTGCCGGAGGCTACCGGACCTAAGATTCATCAGGAATAGTCAGAATATTTTGGTCTGGGAACCAGACTAATAATGTCTCTCCCCGAAAATGGACCAAAATAAGCCCCATAAGTTTCCCACAAAATATGACTATACATGTAGTTACCAAATTTTAATTTTCAAAAAAAAAGCAAACAAAATCAATTAAATACTTAACAATTTCTTTTCTTCGGAAATTAATTCGGAAAGATGCTTATGAAAAGTTTGTGAATGGAGACAAAATATGTCAACCTCGTTTCCATGGGTACGATCTTGCTGCGCCATCATGCCTTGCGAGATCTTAACCCCTGGATTTGTCTAATTTAAATGTGTCAACGCGCGACGCCATCTTTAAAATGTTGAAAGTTGTGTTTTTGAAGAATCAATCCTTTCAAACATTAAGGTGTCGACGTTAGTGAAGGAACACGCACGCGCCCATGGAGTCGAGGCTGAAAATATGTGCATTAATGTTATAGTCACGTGGTATTTATCACAAATCGCTATAAATCAAGGTGTACATCTGAAGCATGGTGTTCCATATGTGCCATCGGCGTCGCATTTTTAAGCTCCGCCAGGGATTATTTTGATAGATTTCATGCAAGATTTTCATGAAGACGGCCAGAGCTTATTATGCATGCACTCGCACTTGTTAACACCCGAGGGGCGCATAGCACCCGAGGCGAAGCCGAGGGTGTTCAGTTTATGCGCCCGGAGGGTGTTCAAAACGTCCCACATCACAGCAGTCAACAATTGTTTTGTTATGGTGCCAGTAACTCAAAAATATAACTTACTGTGTGAAAAATAAATTCAATCACTGTGATGTAACCTTTGGTAAAATAATGAATGTGTTGATGTCTTGCCGGACATGAGACTGAGCGTTTGTCATGCAGTTCTCACTGCGCAAAGCTGGCGCGCCGACAGGTTCCGCGCAACGCGCGCAATGAACGCAGTGCGATATCACCCTCAGTGTGTAACATGCATTTGTATTGTCCAGACACGTGGCCGTCCTAGACCAATGGAATTACAGCATTCAAGCACACGATATAAAAAGTATAATTATTCTGTATTCGAAGATACACGAAGCACTGATGTGTGATGTGGTTTTCGGGATAAATGGGAATAGGAATACAGTCATTACAAATAAAAGCCATAAGTAGATATAATTATTTAAACTCTTAATTTCGCTAATTGATGATCACCTGGCAAACTGCAACAATCTAATTAATGAATCAATAAAAACACATTTTAAACACACCATTTAGAAGTGGTCCGACGTGACCGCAAGTAAAGTCTTGACGTCCTTAACGAACTAACGAGACACTTTGAGAAGAGTTTTCATAGTATCTGGAACCTCGTACCCAAACAACTGGAAGTCCGGCTGATAAACTTTGTACAACTTAACGAGGTCTTTATTGGGTATCTGAGAGTAGTAATGGTTAAAAATCGCGGCGTCGTGACTAACATTGCGTTTAGTCGTCATGAAATGAACAAGATGGTCCACTTTGGTCTCTTTCAGTATGTATTTTGCGTCCTCTTCGCCCGTTTCCAGCTTTCCGATATAATCGAACCTCACTGCGCACGGCAGGACCATCTTGTATATCGGCTGCCAGTGACCATCAAAATTGATGGTCTTTGCATTTACGATATACCGGATAAATTCCGGAAAAGAGACGTCTTTTCCTGTCGCAAGTGACTCCTTGGTAGCATTTTGGCGGTACATCTTTATTATCCGGACGCCTGTACTTTTCTGAAATGCGAGGTTGGGCTGCAGGAACTTGCTCCGGTAGGCTGATAAGACCCGCGCAAAAGGGTGACGTACAAAGATGAAGTTGGTGTAGTTATCCAGGCGTCGTTTGATACCTTCTTCTGGAAGAGTGCTTAGCTTGATTAGACTTGGAGAATGAGCAAACCGCCCGGGGACATCCTCCACCGACTTGTACTTTCCTTTTAAAACAAGGAAGGCACTCTTCCAGTTTGTGGAGCCTACTTTGGATACAAAGGTGTAAAGAAGACGATACTTGTCCTCGACTATAAATGGCCAAAAACTGCGTTTATGCTTCTTAATTATTTCCGAGACGTCCCTCTGTTGCCCGTAATTATCATAGCGGCTGCAAACCTGGTGAAGAGTGTTCCTTCGTCGAGTCTGCTCAGTTTGCCACAATGTTTTCTTGTCTGCGTTATTGTTAAGGGTTGTTTTTTTCTTAGCCTGTTTGGAGCGTGTAGTCAATTTCTTTTCTTTCCCGACTACAGGGATCTTTTCTGTTCGCCTCTTCGTGGCTGTTTGATTTGTACTAGCATTGCCTTTGATGGATGCTTTAGCGACAGAATGTGGTGGTGTTTCATTGACTGACCGTTTACCTTTCTTAAACGCAGGTTTCTGTTTTAATCTCTTTTCTTTTAAAGAACGATTTTCCACTGGTTCTCGCTGTTTGTCCAATATCTCCTCCGATTCCAGTGAAATGTCCTTGTTCAAGATTGGCATCTTCCTTTCAATCTTCAGCACATTATTTTGCTTGACTGCCTCGCTTGACTCCTGTGGGATAAAAACCAAAGCACGTTATTAATCAAAGCTGAATATCTACCCTGCTGTAGATAAAAAGGTGTATTTGTTCAATACATGTTCATGTACAGCTTTTGAATTGTGCAGCAAGCTGGAAATGCATGTAATTGGTTCGTGTGTTGATTGTTCAGGTACGGAGCTCTGGAGGTGCCATCCAATTTGTTGAAATCCTGACATAATGTATCATGAGATAACGACATCGTAAACACTATAGGATGTTAACAGAATGAAATAATTTATTCCGGGATGACAACATCTTGATTTCTTAACACTCCACTTGACAACATTCGAAATTAACTGAACATTTTTACATAAATGTAGATGACGTCATCCCGGGATTACTGATCTCAGGATGTCGACATCCCACTTTTAGGATGCGGTCTTCCTTTGATAAATTATCTAAGCATGCCGATTACTACTTTCCGGATGTTGCCATCCCGTGATAAATTACATGAGGATGATAGAATCCTAATTTTAAGATGTAAGTATGTGATTATTTGACATGATCTCGTCATCTTGGATGGCACCTCCAGAGCTCCGTATAATCAAATAAACAAATTCAACACATTGTTTACCTGCTGGATTTTAATTTTATTGCAGAGTTATGGTATTTAATACTGAGAGAGAATTAATCTTAATGAAAGAGAAAGCTGCCCAGCAAAAATAATGACGATGGAGCCTTTATATATGTTGTTCTGGGATGAACCAATGCCTCGCTGCTTCAAAGCAGGGAATATAAACACTTCTTTTTTGTTTTACAGCTATATAGGTGTCATTTTGTGAGTATGGAAATACATGTACCATGTACTCCGTGTAGGCCTACAATCTGCCATAGCCTTTCGAAAGCTCCAATCTACGTGTTTGCATTTCTTTGTAACCGAAGTGACTGCAGCTATTTCTTAAGTTACATATTATTTATTCGTCCTGTTAAAACTAATAAATAATGATACATATACAATGTACATCAAATTTGAACAAAAACGTTAAATGGAGCGGAATTCGAAGACGTATAGGCCGCCTATAAGGCCTACACCGTACCTGCACGCCGTACATGCGCTCTAAACCAACTGAGCTATGGAGCGTTTTAGATTTCTTCTTGAATAGTCTGATACGTACTGAACTTCAGGCGGATTCAAGGGTTCGGCGCGGAGGGCGACAATAATTGTTCAAAATTTAGTTATTCCCGATGCACTTACATAATTTAAAGGGAATATACATCATTTGCTTTTGCTGTAATTTTCAGAAATGGATGGAATTGGGGGGTTGGAAATATGAAGCAAATATAGTTACACTGACTTTTTGGAGGTTTTGGGTTCGAAAATGCTATAAAAACCAAGAAAAACGATCATTTTCCTGTAGTCTGGTTCCCTGACTCCATATAAGAAGAAACAGAGCAGTTTACATACATTGGGGAATTGTAAGGTCAGGGAACCAGTCTAGCTGGCCCGAACCCGTTCATAGGTTTGTAATCGATTGCAAACAAGTGCAATGGTCAATTGTGGCCAGTATTTGAAAAAAAAAGCCAGTTGTTTCCAACGCTAATCGGCCGATCAGCGTTGGAAATTGATACAAAAATACCAATTTTCTTGAAAATGACAGTATACCAGGTGCCATAATTTTACAGGATGCTTTAGACTGTCATTTACCAACATCCTATTAAGGTATTTCGCAAAAACTTGGTAGTTTTATTTTTCGATGTTTGCAAATGTTGTATATTCCCTTTAAAACTGAGTTGCAACAAAATGTCTGCCTTTCACGTAGCATTCAATAAGTTTGCACAGACAAAGGGGCATGGACAGGTAATCAGACGTGGGCGGTGGAAACTGTCTACTTATGAATGAGTATTCTGCTTGTATCAGTCGGACGGATATCACTGCAATTCAATTTAAGTTGCACTGTGACATGAGCACTACCAACCTTTAATAATATGTACTTAAAGCACGACGAAATATTAAAGTAGGAAGAATACCTTCACGTCGACAAGTGAATGCTGTAACGTAGATGACTTGAAGTGGTCACCATCATGATCTCTCTGTGTGATGCTATCATCTGAAGAAAAAGTGAGAAAAACGACATTTAGGAGTGAGAAAAACGACATTTAGGAGTGAAAATGTACACCACTCTTATAAGATGTACAGGGCGCTCTTCAACAGATTCGATTTTTATGCTCTGGCGATTATTTCCTAAACGAGAAACCACTTGGGCGCTATGTCTATTTGGGCGTCTGCAACTCTCTAAAAACAACCAAGCGCTTAATTGTTTCATATGAATTTGGGACACCCAAGGGCGGATCCAGAACACAATTTTTTTGGGGGCCAAAAAAAATTTTGGTCCCCCAAAAAAGTGGGTCAAAAAAAATACGGCGTGGGGTTCGGGGCCCGCTTAAGGGCCCCGAAAAAATTTTGGATTCTAGATGCTCTGTGGTGCGATCTGAGGCAATTTCTGACCACTTTAACCAATGTTTTTTTGAGGAAAAGATGGTGGTGTACTCATTGCCTGCCTTTATTGCGATGTCACATGAAAAAAAAAATTGGTTTCGTTTTTTTTTGGGGGGGGGGGCATGGCCCCCTTTGCCCCCCCCCCCCCTGGATCCGCCCTTGGGGACACCGTGATGTTTTCGTCGAAATAATTCTCACCATGATGAACATGACTTTGAAATTTTTGACAGAATTATCCTAATCCTGCCATACGGCAACCTTTCTCCTGAGCTTTCACAAATAAAACAAATACAATGTACTATCGGCTTTGAACATAAGTACCCTCGCGTCCGGAAAACCACCCCCCTCCTCTTTCTTCGTGGTGACATAGCACTATGCATGGTATTCGATATCGGTTGATGATGCTGTTTGGGTTATCGTCGATAGCCCAAACAGCATCAACCGATATCGTCCACCGGACTCCCCACCCCGGCAAGACAAACAAAGAGGTTCGCAGTCGCATAAAGCTGAATGCAATTTAGTTGTTTTTTGTTGTTGTTTATTTATTTATTCATTTTAAACTTTTATCCGCCCGGGATGAGGACGTCTCCACCTCAATTTGTCCAATGTTCGCTTCGATGTAGCATTGTGTATAAGAAAACTGGCAGGGGTGGGTGCATAAAGTGGTATTCGTCGATACATCTATTCTACATGGCTGTTTTCCCATAGAAAGGTTCTCAGTATTACCTTCAAATTCCACCTTTCGCCATCGAGTTACCATGGTAATGAAGCCAAGAAGATAAAGAACCAAGACAAAGTTGAACATGTTGCGGGTGCTCGATAAGGTCGCCATCTTCTTAAGCAATGCTGACACCCTGTCACCTGTATACCAGAAACCAGTGGACGTGTGTAACAGTATCTGCCATAACGTCACATAAATGTTGAAAGACGGTTGATAAACTACGTAGAGGGAGAAAGGCGACATTGGCATAGGAAATTAAAGGAAATTGGGGAAGTATTTAAAAAAAAAAAGTAGTCGGTCATGGAAGGTTCCGTTTGAATTTGGTTAGTAATTCAGAGAATTCTTGAATGGGTAAAAGCGTTAATGACACAAAAGCGTGTTCGACTACTTCCCCCCCCCCCTGCTTATCGCGCCTCTAAATCGGGGAAGTTGCACATGCGCAATACGTGAGAGTAAACAACGATCTCGGGTCACTCGAGTGACGTACGCGGCGATAATGAATAATAACCGTTAAATATCGGAGCCCCCCCTTTTTTTGTAAAGTGGTTGGTTTTAAATAATTATATTGAAGGTGGCATAGTCTTGACTGAGGCGCCACGCTGCTTAGGACACACTGTCAGCACAATGTGTCATCCGATAGGCCCACTGTCCACGATAGTCCAATTTGAACAGCGACCTCTATAGGAAGATGGTGCCCCCCCCAACACACACACACACCAACCCACCCAAGTGTGTATTTGCCTTATAATTAAGAAAAACCTGTGAAAAAAAACCTAATTTTACTCACACTGTGAAAATCTTTCAACCCAAATTATATTTTATGATTCCCTTTAATGTTTCTCTTCATTTTTCCAAGGATAAACCTAACCCAAAATGCATCTAAACCTCCAGAGAGGGGGGGGGGGGGACATTGTGTGGCCGTGGGCAAGTGCACACATCGTCGCTGCTACCTGGTTTAATAGTGTGGACATACTTCAGAAGTCCACACAGTCAATGTAATACTTGTACATTTTGTGTTTATGGTGTACATCGAGAATTTTCTATTGTTTCTCATCGATCTTTTGTTTAACTTTTTTTTTCAACATTGGTTTTATACAAGTTTTCTAATCGAGGTCAATTTGACTCCTGTCCTCAATTACTCGATGATGCTTCACATGTGTCCTCAATTTACACCATAAACATGCGCATACGCATGCACACACGTGCGGAAGACGCGTGTTCGGGGAAAATCCTGTCAACATGCTCTCGGGTCAACGCCAAAGGTAATATATAACGGTAATCAGTGGAAAAAGTGGAATCAGTTTTTTTCATTAGGCCCATCTATTAGGGGCATCTCCAAAAGTGTTGCGGAGATTGGAAGGCATGCACTAACCATTTGGTGGTTTGATGGTGATGCGCGGACAATGACGCTCTTAAAAATGCTTTTATCATAATACATTTTGTCATAATCTGCACTTATAAGATTGCGCATATTATTTTAAGTTGAAAGCTTGCAAGGATCCTTGCCTATTTCGCTTACAAAAGTCATGTCAGAAATACATGTCACTTCTAATGTATAGGGATTGCACATCCCTTTTGTTTTTAATTAATTAACATATTTTCCGAAGAATAAGTCATTTGGGTTGAATTTTTGGGGAGATCATTGTCACCAATATAAAAAATGTCAGGTCCTCGTCAGTTATTCTTACTTGACTATAGGGCATACAATTTTTTTGTTGGATTTCACATCAGATTGCGGTACCGCGGTATTCTAAATCGCTGCGTGTTGTATATATCTTCTGCTGATTGACAGGATATCAATATTCATGATTATGTATCTGAAACGTCGGAGAATCGTACTCCATAGGAGCTTAGTAAGAAGGTCTTTAGGCAAACTGTCCCTCAAAGTATTATATACGACGTTTTCAATGATCAGATTGTCCCGATACGAGATCATCACTGCGCGAAAAGTGTGCACTCTCATCATCTGAATTACCAGTGTTACGTTTCACGTCAAGGGACCGCGAACCGCGGAGAGATACCCAAAACCACTCCCCGTGGAAACACACCGGAATGCAAATCTCCTCAGCTGAACCATTTTCATTTTCTAATAGCATTACCTCTGAGCTTGATTACGTAAGATCTAGCGGACGCCCTTTATGTCAATTTACAACTTGGCCCAAGACGTCAGCGTCAATAAGCGATAGTTGCATTGTTGTACAGCGCCTTGCATATTTTTTTCTCACTCACGTCTTGGGCATTTCGTAGCAATCGGGGCGTGGCCATTTTATGTAAATTAGACCGTCGGTGTAAATATTAATAAATTCGAACAAAACGGCAATTCCCATTTGATACCGCAGTAGTCGCACGCTCGCGCGGGGGTATCTCTGTGTTGCATAATTAGCGATGATGCTTGATTATAGACTGTTCCCCCCCCCCTAAAAAATATGGGGACCGGTAACTAGCTCCCATTTAAAGCCCGGATTGGATCACCTCTGCGCGCGCAGCATGATTTTTTTAATTTTGAATCGCTGTTCAATAATGGCACCCGTCATTCAAAGCACGATTATCAAGAAACTCACACTTATCTTATCTCCCAAAGTGTGTCTCCATGAAAGCAACTGTCAAGCATTTCAACTGCATAGGCATGATTGTAAATATTGAACAGCAATATCTCTTTATTGATATTTGCCAGAGATACTTTCACATTCAGCAAACATCGTAGCTCATTATACCTCCAAATTTCTTAATTCGTGGCCAGGCTATTGCCATTTTCCAATAGGCTGGTTGCGGGCAAACATTACCGTTGTCATGTTGAATTAAAGAGGTGGGAAATGGTTAACATAATTTTATGCTAGAGGGGGCACATTTAAATTAAATTTTATGTCCGCAAAATGGGCACTTGGGTAAATCTGGGGGGGGGGATATCGACTTCTTAATTGTGGAATCATTTCACTGGGTCATTGAACCATGCTTTATCTTTATGAGCAAGGTTTTTCTCAATAAATCGGTAGGTGCGTTCTGGGTAATAGGAAAAAATGTTGCAACCTGATGCCACTTCCGCGATCGTGTACAAAGTCTATAGAGAGTCAAGAAAATTTTGAAAGAAAGTATTTCCTAACAAAATTGGAAATGTTTCTCAGTCCCAGATTCATGTCTTATCATCGTTTTTGCAATGAATGACCTTCATTGAGATGATATATGAAGAAAAAAAGTGGAGTCAGGTTGCGACATTTTTTCCTACTAATGTTCCTTGCTTACAGGCTTATATCATGAATCCCCTTATCGTTGCCTGACATAAACCTACACCGTTAGAGTATGGAGGTATTTATTCCTCCTTAGTTTGAGTAATCGGCCTCAATTTCTACACTGATCATACGAAAGCACGACATAATGATTCCAATGCTCAAATAAATTACGGATATTCAAACAATTCAGGAGGAAAAACGTACCGGTACCAGCTTACAACATTTGAGACAGGTGTGCAATAATCCCACGGAGAAGCTCCTCAGAGTCTGTTAGTCCAACCAGGGTCCTTGCTCTATGGTCCAACATAAAATTCGTAATGGTGTCAACCCCTGAACCGTGTGGTCCAAGCATGGGGAGTAGAGTGATGGTATGTCAGCAGCCTGCCACTAATACCCCGTTCACACAAGCAAAGCACACACACCTCACAATGGAATTGGCGTGGCAGATAACATTGTGGCGTTTGTGTTGTATTGTTGGTACCGTATTGTTGGCGTGTATTCACCGAGCAAGGACGTGTCCATTGAAGTTGTTGTGACGACCCTTAGGAGTCTGCATTAATGCATTGGCACAGGACATAAAGTTCATACAAACTCCAACATGGGAATAACAAACCAAAATAACTGATCACTCACCAAAGGAATAGGTTTCTCATGATAGCAATATTGGGAGTGACCATTATCGTTTTATCTCCAAACGAGGCTTCAAATTGAACTTGGGCAACCTCGATCTCGAGTGAGATGCATGGTTAGAAAAATGTCACCGATGAAGGATCGTGTTATCTTCAACCATGGAGGAATAAACTGCAACCATCACCATTTTCACTGTTTTTGTTTTGGTGAGGCCTGGGCCTTACCTTATAATGGCGGAGTTTTGTGAAACATAACACCGCTCACCAATTGTATTAAACTTTTCCAGCTGAAACATCTCTACATTAAACATCATGATGTTTAATAGACAGGCTTAGACCCAATTTTTGACAAGATCGTGACCGACTGGTCCAAAGCACCAAACTTGGCAGATATATTCTTATAGCCATAGAGAAGATATTTAGAAGGGGTGACACCTGAAAATCTTTTGGGAAGGGTGCCTAATTTGCCTAAATCTTTAATACCTGCCGTGTAATATATTTGTTCCCATATTTGGGTATATTTTTGATTTTTTGAAAAGTTCACGTTTTGGATTGTTTACTTATCCTATTTCAAAAGTCTGGTTAAAGGAAACTAACCTAATGTATTACCGTTCCGGAGAAAAGACGAACCCCCTCCCCCGGACATTTTGTGGCATAAGGGGAACTGTCTTTATGCAAAACTTATCTATAGAGTCTGAGGTATAGTAAAAGTGCTCTACACAATGGTCTTCATCCCATCTCATTTAATTTGGACACCCCAGTCCAGAGATACAGCTATTAATTAAATGATTACTTTTTAGATTATTTGGTATGTAATGAAAGGCATTCACATACCAAGAAGGTGTGTTGTTGCACTTCAAACCAAACAAGTGCAATTTCGTTTTATCTACAGACTTTACATTCACGTCTAAACTTGACTGTTGTTTATGACTTTAATAAAAATGGACATTAAAGCTAATAAAGTAAGACTTAATGGTACTTATGTCACAGAATTGCTACTTACAAAGCTGTTGTTCTGAAATCATTGTCTATGAGGAATAATCCTCAACCCATGTTACCAAATGATGAACAGGTCAGATTTGTGAACAATAAGTAAGTGGGCCAAGCAGATTTTGTCAGTCTTTTAATACAAGTTTTGCCTTAACTTTTAAACAAACGGGTCAAAACTACACAGAACAAAAATCCTGTCAAGGGTAAAGAAACACTCTATCATCTCATGGTAATTTTTTTTCTTAAAAAAAAAACCCACCCATTCAGTTTCCTCCAAAAAAAACACCCCGTTGTAAACTGCTACATTTTGGTGAGACACATTGTACGTATACTCGCTTGCCTTGTTATACATGTACATGTAGTTGTGTATTAAAGTACATAATGGCATGCATGAACCAGTCACAACTTTGATGTCATAAAATGCTTTACAAATCACTTTAATTCACCCTTAAAAACACTCCCATTGCAATCTTAGATATCACATGCATTATGAAATTAAGAATGATAAGTTTTAGAAGTATCTTTTTGGCACAAATTTGGTGTAAAATGGCGAAAATTCATACGTAGTACTCCCGTATCAAGCCCGGTTCATACTCTGCGCGAAAGCGAAAGCGAACGCGAATTTGTGACGTCGTGGCAAGTATTCACGCTGCGAATTCGTAAAAGTTGAACATCTTTCAACTCGGGCAAATTTCGCAGCGAATGTTTTATGACGTCAAATTCGCTTCGCGTTCGCTTTCGCATGAAGTATGAACCGGGCTTCAGGCGGCTCCCATTTAGCTTCCGAATCACTTACCCGCATCACGTACGCGTACGAGAAGAACGCACAAAGTGATGACGTCATACGCGAAATCGATACGGATCCGGTTTGTTAGTAGCCTTTAGTCAAGTGCCACGCGCTTACCCGGACACGTGACGCACTCCGGATGGTGACACGTAAAAAGACTAGCACGAGCGGCAAAGCCGCGAGGGCCTTTACCATCTCGTGGAGAATGCTTACGTTTTCCTTTACATTTGTCTACCGATTTGGTAGACATGCATAATGCATTACCCGTTGTGAATTGACCAATGAAAATGCAGAATTACTAACGCAAATCAGCCATCGTCTGGCGCCAGACAGCACGCGCGCCATGGCGCGCATGCTGTTGCTGGTAACCGCAAACCACCGTTAGATGATTGGTTTATATTGCTTGATGTATATTACCTGAATAAATGAATAAGTGATTAGGTACACGAGATAGTAAAGGCCCTCTCGGCTCCGCCACTCGTGCTAGTCTTTTTACGTGACAGCATCCGGGATGCGTTACGTGTCTGGATGGTCCGGGTATAGGCGAGTGGGACTTGAAAAAAGGCTAGTTCGTTAGTGACTTCGTCACACACGCGAGCGCACCACTGATTACTAGCGCCCATTGGATAAACACTCAAGTTGCGATAACTTCCGGTTCCAATGCTACTTACTTTCAGAAATAGAATAAAAAAATATTTGTATTCAATATCTATGCTTAAAGCTATATTCCATCATTTGCAGCCATCCGAAAAGTAACTGGCGTAATTATTGTTGAAAAACATACTTGGTTGAAAGATAGTAAGTGGACTAAACTCCCTGTGAAATTATTCTTTCTGCCAAGCTGTCATTTTGAAGTAATCAATGAAAGAAGGCCTTTCCAACGGTGCATCTTAAGCTTAGACCGGCACCGTAGGAAAATTTAAATTAGTAGTTCGTTTTGTTATTCGGCGAAGCGCGCGCAAGCATTGGCACGACGCACACGTACACGCGCGTGCGGTTGCTATAATTCGTCGGATCAGTGCGCGACATCGCGTATAGCTGCAATCGGCTCAGTGAGAACGTGTCTCGGACGCTGAATGGACCGATCCAGTAAGCACCGCCCCATGGTGTTCTGACCATTCACAGCCGTGATTTATGTCCGACGTGCGTGCTCTAAAGTCCGACACGCGTGCACGCGCGTATGATGCGCGCGGAAGGAAAATGCAGCGTGGCATTGGAGCGGAGCACGTGTTAATTTGCCCACGTGCGCACTGGGCGGAGCTTACTGGATCGGTCCATTCAGGCCAATTCAAAACATGATTCAGCAACTTTTGATTTGAAATTGAGATCCTAGAAAGCTGTTTTTCTCGGAATATACAGCTGAAGCTGAACTGAAACTTCATCAGGTTAGTTGTTCAGTATCCTTCATTAGATTTTGAACACTTTTGTTGCTTCAAACGAACAAAATGCACAAATTACAAATGATGGACTATATCTTTAATGTGCAGTGGGCGTGGTTTAAACCGAAGTGACGTCACACTAACTAACCAGATATACGCGACGGGCGCGCCGAAACTTTTTAATGAAACCATCAGGCACACCTTTGATAAAGGTTGTGATCTCTCGAAGAAAAGTGGGATCAAATTTGTTACCCCGTAACTAGGGCTTAAATAGAAATTCCAATCAATACTACACCTGTACTCCAAATAATATGTCCATGTATTATTTGTGCAGATCTGGCAATGAACATACCAACTTCATGAATGAGGAAAACCTCGCTAAAATTAAAGAGGACTGGTACCAAATACCCTAAAACCATAACCTGCAGGGATAAACTCAATGAAGATGTTGCTATTTTTACGGAAGCCAACCGTTGGGTGCATGCAAGGTCAGTTGTCAACCAAATGGTTATCGAAGCCATGAATGAAATACAAATTTAATCTACTTCAATAAAAATATATTTGATTTGGAACAATAAAAGTAAAAAAAAATATATACTTGGGAAACCAAGAAAAGGACCAAGATTACCGTACGATCGACGACCATTTTCAACAAAACACCCAACGCCTGGGGACTGAAAAGATCTTTTTGTTCTCCCTTTGTGTGTCTGTCCTCTATCGTAAAGCCATACATGTACACGCAAACGTGTTCACACCGTCGATCGTGGACGTCCTATTGTCCCTCTTTTGTTTGTACTTCAACTTTTGAGAAAGACTCCCATATGTTTTGTACACGACCCCAATCGCGGACGTATGCTGGGAATCATGGACGATATTGTTCTCTGGATTTTTTTCGTCCACGGTTTGAATAGATGAACACGCCCACTTTTACATACCGGTACATACAGACATACCCACATAGTGACATACACACAGAAGGAATACGCTATCGCAATACCCCCCTCCAAACGTCACTCATTGCTTCTCTCCACCCAGGAGTAAATGGGTACCTGTGAGGGCAGAGATGGTTATTGTGATTGAATTAGCTTCCTTGCGCCTAACAAGGCTGCATCGAGCTGTATACTCCCCAGGGAGCTGAGATGGTATTTGGAATGTTTCATGTGCCCAATGAGCAGGGGTAATAATGATGTAGCGCCTTGAGCACCAGTCTTGGTGGATACGTGCACTTTATAAATATCCACTATTATTATTATTATTATAAAAATGGCAACTTTTGAATCAGAAGCACAAGCAACGGAATCAACTTGCGAAACAAAAAGCGTGCATACCTGTTTTCTCAAAAATTTCTAGTATTACTTCAGTTTGAACAAGTTAGTTGTCATGCAATTGTTCCTGTTTTCTCCAAATTTCCAGTATCTATCAACTAGAGCTTCATTTTGAACAAGTTAGTTGTCATGCAACCTACTCAAGACTTTGAGTGATTTTGTTCTTCAATCAACAAAAATGCACAAAAAGCAAATGATTCCGTGTCCCTTTAAAAAGACATGTTTTCGTACACATACACAACATTAGAAACAGAGACTGTTGTCAACTTTACGGAGACTGTTGTCAACTTCCAAAATTGTTGGGTGTCGACTGTCGATTGTAGGTTTTGCGGTCTGCAATCATAACTTTTACAGGGCCAACTGGGTCGTGGAAGAATTACATTGTTAATTTTAAATAATTTAAAAGTATCATGCGGGCGGCTACTACTATGTAAAACTAACACTATCATCATGTTACACTTCCGTGTGGAGCACCAATAATGACCCGTTTGATTTACACGCATAGGCCTACATGTACATACTGCTGATGTTCTGCAATATTCTTTTGCACGTTTTTCCACAACCACATCCGGTGCTAGGTAAAAAGGTCAATAGGAGGGCGCCCTCATCAGAGTCTAACAGAGCAAGGTACGGTTAAATTTACGAAAATATATGAATGACTTTCCCGGGCCAAAATTAACCTAAGTGGGAATGCACGGTAGAATAACCACATTTTACAAACTTAAGTCCAATGCAAATGCGGTTTTAGTCTACTAAATTTATTCTCTGAAGCACATCGTCAATGTAGTGAAGCCATGCAAACAACTGAGTCATCATGTCATGGCACTGTTAGGTATGACATCTCGTCTTGTGTGGTGTCAACGTTATCCAACATTGAGATAAAGTTCTGTTAGAAAATGCGTACAGTTATACATGTTGTACATAGTCATGTACTAGATGTGAATGAAGTGGCAGGTGTCCTATCACCCTCGGGAGGATAATGCCATGTGCCTGTAGAACATGTAGAGGAATGGCTTGCTGAAATACAACGTCCACTCAATTGGATGATGAGTTTTAGGACATACGCCTTATACGTACCAGGTCCATCCAAATTCCCATCCAGCAGATAAGAAAAGCTGTATTGCATTTGCAACTTGGTTTTACTCCATAGAGTTCAGCAACAATGAAGATAAGCTATACTTTGAAACCACCCTGTAATATTCCTTGCTGCATGTAACAAGAGTTCTTGCTCACACAGGCACCACAGCTGTTGCAACCAATTGGACAGACTTTCAGAAGTCCTGGAGACAGCAACATTGGCCTCCAACTAGTTCTCTTGATGTGGAGGTGCTAATCTCATTCCTTGAACTTCCACTCTTGTCGGCACATAGGGCATTGCTGATGCACTTGCTGTGAGTTCAGCCACTTCAGAATGCAGTGCATGTGAAATACATGAGAACACTGGCCCCACACTGAAAAAGAGAACAAAGAAGAATAGCCTGGTCCAAGAAGATTAAATTATGACCGCCGTTTGTGAATGGTAACCTCACACAATCCACTTTTTATAGTTTTATAGTTTTATTGTATTATATAAATTTTATTTTATAAAAAAACACACAACATTTTCACATCTTCTGACAAGGTTGCATGTTTGTACAAAGTTCCATCTTCATTCCTTGAGCCGTTACAAAGAAATTCCACTTCTTTCCGTATTTTTAATTCACCTACTGTAAATGTGACCTTCCTTTAACCCCAGAAGTAAAGGTCAAGCGACTTCAAATACACGACAAGAAATTTTCATCAAGGCACTGTGAATATTATTCTTTGTTTTGTTCATGACTTATGATCAGGCATGCAACTACGAATTTGGAGAAAAAAAAGAGAGAAAGTTCCAAACCACACAAGACTTTGTACAGTGTTTTTCAATTTGTAATGGCATTCATGAGAAGTTGAAAACAAGGAAATCAGTGGATCTGAGGAAAAGTTGCATGCGTGTATGATTGAAACAAAGCAGTCACTTTTTGAACTGAAATTACTTGAAGTAATCATGACATCACACTTGTACATGCATGCACAACTCTGTATCAGGGTTGATGTTCATACCATTTTGGAAATTCATGCCTTGTTCCGTTTGAAAGAAAAGCCACGCAGAAGTAACATCCAGAAAAACAACAACAAAAACCATGAACACTACTAAAGAAGAACAAAGACAAAACCAAAGGGTGATAGGGGTTGTCCCTCGGGCAATCAGCCAGAGTGACATATAAATGACAAGGGTAACAAATGCTACTTGTTCAGATACCACAATAGGCTCAGTAATATTGTACAAGCCTTTACCATTTCCTTTTTCATCATTTTTTGCATTGCATAGGAACATCAATATAAACTTTTGCATGAGTGAAGATAATTGAATTCACTGTAAACTTTTAAACAATAAGCAAAGCCATGCTAACCTAGTGGGCAATCATCACCAGGCATCTTACAGTCTGGACAACAGCTGTCAAAGGCCATTCTGCAGATACCACAGTTATCATCATTGGCTATCCATCTCCACGTCGCCACAGCAGTCCAACTACCAAAACCAGGCAAAGACAGTGGGAAACAATTCAAATAAATCACATCTGTGAAATAAAAATATGCTTTGTATGTAGTATGGCAGAATAACTGGTGGAAGTAATGTACGCATGTATGTAATTATTTCATGTGCAATACATTTCCTTGTACTTAAAGCTATAGTCCATCATTTGCAGCTATCCGAAAAGTAACTGGCGTATTTTTGTTGAACAACATACTCGGTTGAAAGATAGTAAGGGGACTAAACTCCCTGTGAAATTATTCTTTCTGGCAAGCTGTCGTTTTGAAGTAATCAACGAAAGAAGGCCTTTCCAACGGTGCTTCTTAAGACGCACCGTAGGAAACTTAAATTAGTAGTTCGTTTTGTTATTCGGCGAAGCGCGCGCAAGCATATGCACGACGCACACACACGCGCGGTTGCTATAATTCGTCGGATCAGTGCGCGACATCGCGTAGCTGCAATCGGCTCAGTGAGAACATGTCTCGGACGCTGAATTCAGGCCCAATTCAAAACACGATTCAGCAACTTTTGATTTGAAATTGAGATCCTAGAATGCTGTTTTTCTCAGAATATACGGCTGAAGCTGAGCTGAAACTTCATCAGGTTAGTTGTTCAGTATCCTTCTTTAGATTTTGAGGACTTTTGTTGCTTCAAACGAACAAAATGCACAACTTACAAATGATGGACTACATCTTTAATGCTTTTATGTGCGAGCCTCTCAATCCATAGTAAGGCCAAAAAAACCCCATAGTTCTGCTTCCGTTTACCCTAGTCCCTACCCTATTTTGACAGCCTGTACCCCAATTTTATTTTGGTAAAAATGAGGGAAAAGCCCCAAACCCTCAATAACTACCTTTTACCCTTGACTAGATGCAGAAACCTCTGTATGATCGTACACAAAAGTATAAATGGGTACCGGCATTAGCTGATGGGGAGTAACCTGCAATGGATTGGAATCCTGTCCGGGGGAACAGAAATATTCGCAGTCGTTTTTTGCTACCGAAACTGGAGATAAACGCCGGCCTGATGGGCCACATTGGCTCGTGACAGACTTTTACTTTGTGCTATGGTGACAAATATTAAACTTTAAAGTAATGCTTGGGTAGCTGTTTTACCTGTGGACATTTGACCGGTGGTTTGATATATGCAATATGCATGTACAATAACATTGCACCATCTTCTCATTTGTATCAATACCTGTGTGTATGAAATGTATAATAATTAAAGAGTAAACGAAATGATGCCTTTCATTGTCAGGGGCCAATTTCATAGAGCTGCTTAAGCACAAAATTTGCTTAAGCACAAAAAACGTCTTGCTTAATAAAATCAGGTTACCGGCCAAAACTCCATGCGATTGTTATGCTAAGTAAACAACAGCTAAATACCAGTCACAAGCAATGTACATCACATGGATTTTTTGGCCGGTAACCTAATTTTACTAAGCAATGTTTTTTCGTGCTTAAGCAAATTTTCTGCTTAAGCAGCTCTATGAAACTGGGCCCCGATGTTTTGTTGATTGATATGACTTTTAGTGCTTTCGGGCCCAATGGAAGATTTCTGAGACGATTGGTTGCAGCAAACACGCTGGTCCTTTTGAATTGTTTGCGACATGTTTAAGTTAATGTGCGCATGTTCAAAATGATGCAAACGATAGAAGAGGACTGGTGTGTTGGCTGCCACCAAGTATCTCAAAATTCTCCCATAACATGCCTCTATCAGTTTCTAATCCCTACCTACGGTGCCTACCCTATTTCAAATTCCATGTAATCGGAAGCAGAACTTTTTTTTTCCTAAAGAGAGTCCCAATATTAAGACTTAAAGGGGCCATGCAACGTAATTTTTTTAATGCAATCCTTGAAAACGCGCCTTTGTGTCCCATTTTACCTTTTTAAAAAATTTTTTGCTGGGCCATTTTAAAGGATATTTTGGTGCCTTTTGGGTTTTATGCTAATGCAAATTCCCATATTCATGTGCAAAACTGTGATGTCATTCTGGGCAGAAACCTCAATGTAACAGCTATTTCAGCACAAAAAGTTGCTAGAACTTTGAATATTTTGCTGTCGTAAATTTTCTTTTCTTTGGTGATTCGTTGTTTTGTAAGTACATGTCAGTAAAGCCAATGGGAAACCCTTCCTCACAAATGTTTTCAATGAGCAAAATTTGAACAGAAAACCCCTAAACTGAACAGTGTCTTCCCAGAATGACATCACAGCAACAGTGCCCTCAGTTGTCGCGGAAAGCATGGATTACTTTAAACGTTTAAAGAAGTGCACTTTTTTTTAGTAAAGTTAACCAAAACAGGATGTCAAATTGTTTTCATACATTTAAGAGTAGAAAGTTGCACGAAATGTGTTCTGAAGAAAATTTCATCGCATGGCCCTTTAAGTACATTGTACAATGTACTTTATAGCTATGTGCTCTATGATTCTATGCAGTGTGAACTACTCCCAATTGGAACTAGAGGACACTTCATGTATGTTTGTACGGGGCTGTATCATAAGTCCGACGCCTCATAGGTCCGTCGCCTCATGGACTTAAGAGGCGTCGGACTTATGAGGCATAACATTTATTTATTCCGCCTCATAGGTCCGACGCCTCATAAGTCCGACAACGGAAAAACGAGGCATTTAATTTGTCGGACTTAGCTTACGAGGCGTCGGAGCTATGAGGCGTCGGACTTACGAGGCGTCGGACCAATGAGGCATCGGACTTATGGGCCTTTATTAGGTTAGGGGATGCCATTTTGTCGGACTTATGAGGCGTCGGACCTATGAGGCGTCGGACTTATGGGCCTTTATTAGGTTAGGGGATGCCATTTTGTCTGACTTATGAGGTGTCGGACCTATGAGGCGTCGGACTTGTGAGCGGACCCCGTTTGTATTATATGGCACTGGTGTATGTAATCATAGAGTGATGTGATCAATGTTTTATTCAAATGTCTACCAATCAGACTGTACAAGCATCATAGGTAATTGGCAATAATGGACCTCAAGGGTCCTTCAACATCATCAGGGCACTTGCTTATTTCACTAATTTGAGGGGCAACATAATTTCTATCATCTCATTTCAACATTTGCTTACCCTATGAGTTAACAAGGAGTATAATCCACATCAGCAACATCAATCATTCGGTCCAACCGATCATTTGGTAAAAAAGAAAGAAAAAAGAAAGAAGTGTTATTAATTTTACATTTGATTTCAGTCCCACAAACCATAAAGTTTCAATTTTCGTCTGGTGTGATGTTGTGGAAAGCATGTCACGACATCGCACCAGACAAAAATTGAAACCACTAGCGTGCCTGAAAGCGTATGATACCCACATACATCGCGCACATGTTGAAGGTACGTTACAAAATGTACATTTGTGCGTCTTGTTTATCATACATAACACATTTTTTCTGGATGTCATCTTTGGTGCTTAGGTAGGTCTAGGTCTACTCTATCTACCATGGGGATAACAGTTATTAAACCTTTTCAGTAAGGTAATTACAGCCCAAGGAAACTCAAAAGTACATTAAAAATGTAACATAAGTAGCCGTGGAATTGCCCATTAGCTTCATGAATGACTGCTGCATGGGATGAGGTAGGCCTATGGATTATGGAATCTGGGTTGGGATAATTTTGTAGAGGGAAAATGGACCGTTTTTGAAATACGCTGGGGGATACGGTCCCCGATTTCGGGCTGCTTACGATCTATTTTTTTTTTAACATAGTTGTGCCTCCAGCTCTATTAATGCGATTTGGCATTGGAGTAGTCCCGAGTAACTTGGACCCAACTTATCGCCTTTTTAACATTCGGACATCGCCAGACCATGTCCGAATGTTAAAAAGGCGATAAGTCGGGTCCAAGTTACTCGGACCATGCTCGGACTAGCATTGGAGCTGGAGTTACTCAACGCCAGATGTGGGAATCATTCCAAGGCAAGCCTTCACTTTCCACATTTTTTCGGCTGCTGGTTAAAATTTGGGAAAGAATGTTGCAACCTGGCACTACTTCAGCAATGTGTACAAAGTCTATGAAGAGTACTTCAAGAGATTTTTAAAGTATTTTCTTACAAAATTGGAAATGTTTCTCAGTCCCAGATTCATGTCTTATTATCATTTTTGCAATAGGCCCCTAACTGACTTTTCATTGAGATGATGTATGAAAACTATGAAGAAAAAAGCAGCGTCAGGTTTCAACATTCTTTCCACATTCTTTCCAAACTGACTACATTTATTTTACTTTGTCTACAGATCGCTAAAGCAATTAAGCCAAGACGTATACCGGTACGTACTGATTATCTTCACCTTCATCTTGACACTGGCCGCCGGCGGTCACTGACTAACGTTATGGAGGAATAAGAACACACGGTTGCTGCTAGTGCTAGGCCTATCACTATATCAGGATTTTTGCTGCAGATCCTGCCTGCCTTTTTTTTTTGTAGCAAATCCCGAAACCACACGTACGTACGCGTGCACCTGCCGCAAGAGGGCGTTTATCACGACGAATCGTGCACCTGCACCGGCGACCACAGACAAAATTATGTAGGTTAATAAGTCTGTGCCTGTGACCCGACGGCAGTGATGAACCGCGAGCCAATATTTTTTTCTGTAGGCTAGTAAAGTCATAGACAGTCTTTAGTGCGTTCGATTACTTCACCCGCGCTTACTCGTGCAGGCGCGACAGTGTTCGATTGACCTCTCACGTGACTTCTCGCGCTTACTCGAGGCCCCAAGTATTATTTATGTACCCTAACATGGCTGACGTATGGACCCGAGATGATTGCTCAAGAAATTGCCAGAACTATGAATGAAACTGGCATCTACCCTGACGACATCAAAAAAGGTATTCTCGTTCCTCTTTCTAAGCCAGGTAAACCAAAGGGACCCCCAGTAAACATAAGGCCAATCGTTCTTCTGACAATTATCCGGAAAATAATGGCCACTTGTTTGACGAAGAGAATCGCCGACAGATTAGACGACCACATACCAGCTTCCCAAAGCAGCCTATCGACACGGCAGAGGCACCACTGAGCAGGTCTTTGCCTTAAAGATCTTAGCAGAGAAGGCCATCACAGCCGACGGCTAATGAATTTCACCTACTGCTGCTCGACATGTCAAAGGCTTTTGATTCGGTGAGGAGAGTAGTTCTCTTTGGCGGAGGATCTCAAAGAGATACTAGAGCAACCGAACTCCACTCACTGGCAATCTTACTTAGAGACGTTCGATTACAAGTCATAGTGGGAATTGTCTTGGCCGTAAGCCCTTCAAAACCAACATCGGCGTGCCTCAAGGAGACTGCCTCAGTCCCATTCTCTTCACTCTATACCTGGCAAAAGCACTGAATGATACCAATGAGACAACTTGACCCGGATCACTCGAGACACCATTCACTCTTCAGGATCACAGTTACTACACACAGACACAATCCCGATCCCTTCCTGTGGAACTCGAGAACCACAGCTACGCTATTTGCCCACCAGTATACTTTGAGATGGGGTTACAGTATGCTGATGACATCACTTGGGCAAGTAAGAAATGTAAATACTTGGGATCTTTACTCGACACTGAGCAAGATATTACCAGGAGGAAAATGCTTACGATGGCATCTTTCAACAAGCAACAGTGATGCAATCTTCCACAACACGCGCACAAAACTCAAAACATTCCGTGCCTTCGTATAGCTTCCGTATTTCTGTATAACTGTGAACTATATGGACAGTTAAGTCACTAGAAGAGAACATTGATGCATTTCACAGAAGGCTCTTGCGTTCAATCCTGGGTTTTAAATGGCCAAAGAAGAACACCAATAAAGAACTGTACAAGAAATTTAAACTAACGAGATCTCTTGGAATACTGCCATTACCCGAAGCCGTCTTAGGTGGACAGGCCATCTCCTGAGAATACTTGAGGAAACTCCTGCCAAGTAAGCGCTTCTAGAGGCAATCCGCAAGAACAAGCTGCCAAGAGGTGGACAGCGTATCACGTGGCTGAAAAAAGTAAACAGGGACCTGACAACCACGGGGGTCATCATTACGTGGCATCAGACAGGGAGTAGTGGAGGACACTAATAACAGAGTGCGCAATGTCAGATCTACTTGACGCAAGCGCCTATGAGATGAACGTTGCGCGGCCCCTAAAGTGGTGCACTTTGATTTTTCGCCTGTAGCGCCTAGCTAGAGCAAAATATTTAACTGAAATTTCACATTTTATTTCGGCGTGATTTTCCAATTTTATTTCTAAGTGCACAGTGAACCCTTTAAAAATGTCCTCCAAAAATAGTAAATAATAAACTTCTGGTTGGGGTGTAAGTAGAGATGATAACTGTTCATCAGAATTTATCAACTTCACAGAAATTCTCAAATGTTTGTCAATAAAGAAGTTTGGTAACACTGATGTGGAAAGTCGGGATAAATGTCGAAGTGCGCCACAACGGTTTAACACTATATAGTAACCGACTCGCGTCGCCGAGCCGGTTAGCGATTTTTTTCCATACCACATGCTCGCTACAATAATATAATTATGCTGGAGGGCCCTATATGCAATATAATGTTTACAACTACCACATCGATTGAGTCACTGCTGTATAGTGTCATGGATACTACATTGGATGCTTTTTTTAATTTTAAATTTCTTCTTCTTTACTTCTTTAACCTGTCTTGCAACTCAACGTACTTTTCGAAATACGTCCATAACGAATGTATGTGTACGGAAAAAAATATCGCAGCCGGTTACCTCAACCTCGTCCCCAGGGTGTCGAGCAGTACGCGTCCACCACTACCTGCTCTGTCACCCTGGTATTGGACATTTGCATGAGAAAGCGTCTGAACACGTATGCAAATGAGGAATAGTCTGGTGATTGCATGGGCGTTACATTAGCGTTTATCTTTGTATGCGGTGTCTTGGGTAAAAACAGCATTTTCATTGCGGACCATTCGCTCGTATCCCCGGCCCTGCAAACAGGACGCTGGGATACTCTGATGAGCGTCACAGAATCTTGTGAAGGAAGTGGCCTATGACCTATGTATAAAGCACCTGGCTGCAGCTGTTCAAGACCGCAGTTAGACAATGTGCGCAAATGCTATCCGAAAACTTCCCATAGAATTGCGAACATTCCATACCGGATGTGATTTCTGTTTCATTGCGGACCATGTGGACAAAATTTTGAGCGTCGCACAATACAATCCGACCGTTCGTGATTCGAAACGGAGCCTGAGCGAGTGACGGAATTGTAAATTTACAACACAGATAAGTTTTACAGAATTTCCTACATTATTACGCTTTTCAACGAGAAAAACATCTCTAAACTGGAATAAAAGAGGAATGAATCAGTCTTAACGGCCGTTTCAAACCTTGCAGAGTCATGACCTTGATGACGCGCAGGTCACTGGTCACGCAAAATCCAACCGTGAGCAAGGGACAGGAATCGCATATTTACAACACAGATAAGTTTTACAGATTTTCCTACATTATAACGCTTTTCTACGGAAACGTACGTACGTGATAAGTTTCACGTACGTACGTGATAAGTTTCACGTACGTACATGATAAGTTTCACGTACGTACGTGATAATTTTCAGTATATCACGTGTTTTACTGCGTGCGTGTTCACATACCAGGGAAATAGTATGCGAGCTTTCGGTGGTAGAATTCCACTTATTTCCTTTTAACCCTAAACATCCCAATTCCTTCAAAATACTCTTTGCTACATGGACGAATTTGGAGGATTGAGACCACCCTTACAGAAATATTCCATGGCATTTGCCATGCAAAATTCCCATGGACACCATGACACTCATGGTGCACACTCCCAATTGTTTTTCAAGACACCTAGGTGGTTCTCCGACTCTCTGTTTCTCTCAACTGAAATATTCCCTCAACCGTGAAATTATCCCAAATACACATTTGGAGAAAAAAAAACTAATGAATGCAAAGTGAAGACATGTATAAGTGTATTCGAACCAGGGACCTATTGATCCACAATCCAACTTGCTACCTACTATAGGCGATTGCGGCAGCCTGACAGTAGCTGTCCAATATATCCTTTAGTGTAGCGATATGACCAATATTTACAATTCTGAGTCAGGCCTCAGTGAACTGTTCATAAATAAGCATCCCTAGCATGTGAAAAAAGAACGGCAAACCATTGTACCCGATAGTATTTAGTGTCCTCCTATACACTCCCATGGGTTATCCCTTATCATGTACGTACGTGAAACTTATCATGTACGTACGTGAAACTTATCATGTACGTACGTGAAACTTATCGCGTACGTACGTGAAACTTATCATGTACGTACGTGAAACTATCACGTACGTACGTGAAACAAATAAATAAATGTGTGGCGGTAATACGTTTCCGTACTTTTCAACGAAAACAAAAGCATTTCTGATTTGGAATCGAAAAGTAATGAATCAGTTTCAACGGCCGTTTGAAACCTTGCAGGGTCGTGGTCGTGATGACGTGCAGGTCACAGGTCACGCAAAACCTATCCAATCAGAGCGTGAATTCATCAGCCCTTCCCAGCGTCCTGTTTGCAGGGCGGGGGTACGAGCGAAATTTTTAGGATCATTATGGGAGAGTGATCTGTCACGTGCGAGGGTTTAACCAATAATAGGGAAAAGGGTCTGATTTTCATAGGAGTCGGATTTTAATATGACACCGGCAGGGTTGGCTGATTTAAATCACGTTGATTTAAATCACTGATTTAAATCGCGATTTAAATCAAAACATTTTTTTCTAAAAATCACTGATTTAAATCACTTTTTTTGTAAAAATCTTATTTTTGGCAAAATCAATTGATTGAGGGTCATTTTAATCATTTAAATCAACTGATTCCACTTAATTACAAAGTGTAAGATGTTGTTAACACATTCAAACACCCCTACTTCATCACCATCGACTCAATTTAGGTTTTGCATAATTATTTTTGATTAAGTCAAGATCTGAGTTTAAAAGTTTTTCTTCAAAGTTTTTAATTTTAAAGAGAGCACACTCACGTTTGCTTTAATCATTTCTTGATCTGTTTACAGTAATATTGTGAATCAACTGTACTGGTGAAGGCTTACATGAACCATCAAAAGGTGTATTAAAAGTCCCCGGTGAGTCTTTTTCCTAACGTTAATTTCTCCCTACAAATTTAGATTGAGATTTATATAAAACCTTTTAAAGGTGTAAGGCCTGATTTCTGTTCTCCACCTTGGACCATCGATCAAACACTAAGTTACACAATCAGTGCCGCCAGTTTTGAAATTAAAAGCATTTTTATGAAATCAACATGCCCATGGAGAACTGTTGTATTTTTTTTGTATGCCATGTACACGTACCATAAATCAAGTTTCATTCGTATCCACACATACGTATCTCAGCTGTATCAATCAAGCAATGCTCCTTTAAAGTGTCTTCAGTATTAATGTACCATTGAACCAATGATGTAGACTACATGTAGAAGAAATCAAGTGATTTTTTTAAATCACTGATTAATACAATTATTTTCAAAAGCATTTATCAATTTATTGAGTTTTGTGGATGAAGGGTATTATAGGACCCTGTAAACTCCTTTGTGATAGGTGTGAGGGTGCATGGGGAGATTTAGACACATGTTTAGACATATCAATATTTTGAAAGTTAAAAAGTTTTTTGATTTTTTTTTTTAAATCAAAAAAAAAAAATCGCCAACCCTGGACACCGGTATGACGGAGCTAGCATACTCCTGCTAACCCGCGGGTCGTACTCCAGCCGTTCGTGCGCTCAGGAGTATACTCGTGTTAACACGAGCTAGCACGCTCGAACGCACTATGTGAGTTTTGCTTGTCTCAGCTTTTGCAAGTTCCGCGTCCATTGTTTATCATGTAATTGAACTATATTTCGCAAGCTGAGTTGACGTGATTCTACCATGGGTCCTAGCTCTATGATTCTACCACGATGGGTCAATTATTTCCACCAGTGACGAACAGGGTCTGTGGGTGGGCTGACCGTTGTCGACCCGGGTGAGCTGAACGAACGCTGTTCACTGACGCATGTGCATTATGATCAGTGACTATACTAGGTTGCAGAAAAACAAATTGCTGAAAGCAGGGATCGTCAGCTTCACATGCATGCTGCATGCATGCGGTGCAGTCTAGTAGTCTGAGCTAGCAGTGAGCACATGGTGGACGTACGTTGAGACGTACGCGATTGATGTGATGCGTGCTGAACAGAAGAAATAACCACGTCCTGTTTCAATGCAAGAAAATCCTCTGTTCTTTTAGCGTTTCCTAGTCTTACCGACTAGTATTAGTAATATAATAAGATGGCGGACAGCGGACAGCCAGACGGTTTGGGATCCGAGGCTATATCTAACTCGTTCTCTACTGAAATCACCCACTACCTGCTGGTTGTAGTTGGCGAGCCACTCGGCCAAGAATACGTAGACCTGTCCCTTGCAGATGTGGAAAAAGGTAAACATTAACACAAATACCAAGCACTCATTCGTAAGTGATCTGGGATAGAAACATCCGAAAAGAATGTTGCAACCTGATGCTGCATTATTCTTCATATATCATCTCAATGAAGGTCATTCATTGCACAAATGATGATAAGATTAAGTGTCAAGACATGATGAATCTGGAAATTTTCTTGACTCTCCATAGACTTTGTACACAACTGCTGAAGTAGCGTCAGGTTGCAACATTCTTTCCAAACATCCAGTTATCGACTTTGTATTGTGGCCAGCATTCACAAAACGACTTTAAAAGTCATATAAAAGTAACCACCCCACCTACTCCTAGAACTATGAGGCTCCACGTAGTGGAGCCTCATACTAGGTTCAGAACCCCGCAAAATTAATGTCAGCACAAAACACTAATTAAGTACAAAAACTTCCATCCCAACCAAGCTTTTTCCCACAGAACCGCTGCACAGTTTGCCCCTAAACTCTGTACAATACCTCATGACATACTCACGTTATGTGCACCCAACAAACATCGGTGGATTCTGTCTGTTTTTCGGCAAAAATGATGAAAAATATGCCCTTTCCGCACTGAGCCAACCTGACACTTGAAACGTGCACGGGCGCAGAATGATCGCAGTCATTTTCGGGTTAAGATGCTCGGAGCGCGCCGCGGGGGGTATGTACTTGCATTTGTACGCATGCGCATACTATCGTTCCGCTCGCGAATATTTTATTTACACAACTATCTGGGGTACCCATTTTTCAGGCGACTTGAATCACGGTTATAGGATTGTAGAGCGCCGCGTAGCGGCGCTCTACAATCCTGTAACCTTTTACCTACGTGCGCGCGCGTATACTCTCTCCACATGTGTGAAAGTATATAATTTATGAATTGCACGAATTTTTCGAGCACCGCCGTTGCCTAGTGGTTAGGCATGTCTCGAGATCGATTCCTCGCTCTGCCAATACAGATTTTGCTCTTTTTTTCAACAATTTTAAGTTGAATCTTAAAAACGTTATTTTTCAGTCGGACATTACTTGTATAGCAGCAATTTCCTTTTTCCTTTCCTGATCTGAGGCTCTGGAGGATTTTTTTAAAAAGGGAAATAAAGTCCGAAATCCGTACCAAGTTGAAAAATAGTAGCCTCCACTCAAGCCTGGTTATAAAAACCAAGCCCCATAGGAAAGCGCGCAAAGTACCCCAGATAGTTGTGTAAAAAAAATATCGCGTTCCGCTCCTACACCATACCCCCCGCGGCGCGCTCCGAGCGATCGAACCGAAAATGACTGCGATCATTCTGCGCGCGTGCACGTTTCAAGTGTCAGGTTGGCTCAGTGCGGAAAGGGCATATTTTTCATCATTTTTGCCGAAAAACAGACAGAATCCACCGATGTTTGTTAGGTGCACATAACTTGAGTATGTCATGAGGTATTGTACGGAGTTAAGGGGCAAACTGTGCAGCGGTTCTGTGGGAAAAAGCTTGGTTGGGATGGACGTTTTTGTACTTAATTAGTGTTATGTGCTGACAACAATTTTGCGGGGTTCTGAACCTATTATGAGGCTCCACTACGTGGAGCCTCATAGTTCTAGGAGTACACCCCACCATATGCGACTTAGACTAGTCTTACAATTTAGTATTCACGGAAAAGGAACGATTCCCATATCTGGCCATCACTTGTTACCCTGTGCACAAACCGTATGAGGCTGGTCTGAAAATGTCTAAGTGGTTTTTTGGTAAATACCTCGATATTTTCCGTGATAAATTTGACTTTTCAGGACATATTATCACTTTCTGATGGCTGATAGGTAACTGAAGGGAAAAATTAGTGATGGCCGGATATGGGAATCTTTCCCCTAGACCTGTGAATGTGGCTTGTAAACTACGCCATGCTCTTGTATCATTTCGAACCTAGTGAAATCATCCCTCCATGACAAAAACTGAACATTACTTTACCGTGTGAAAAGAACTGACATTATGAAGCTTTCTTGAAATCGGCTTTGACGGCAAATCTTGCATTTGAATGAAATTTGACGTAAAATCTGGCCCAAGATTTGGCAAGATCTCGACGTCTTAGCAACCTCCAAGTTCTCATTATTCCCAAGAGCTTTTGCAGAATGGAATAAATTACCACCAGAAATACATCAAGCACCAAGCATTGCAATTTTTAAGTCGAAACTTCAATCTCTTAACATAGATGACATCATCAGGGGGGCCCACTTCATGTAAATATCTGCTCAGTCACCTCGCGCCTGCATATTACATCCCTGCTGAGGAGATATATGCAGTATTCCACCAGAACCAGAACCAGAACCTCCTACTGATTCATGTGATTTGTTGGACTCACACCAACCTCATCCCTAAAGCTTACTTTATTTCCAAACATGTTTCCAATAGGAAGCAGGAAGTCAACCTCGTCCCCAGGGTGTCGAGCAGTACGCGCCCACCACTACCTGCTCTCTCACCCTGGTATTGGATCATTTGCATGTGCAAGATTTTTGAACACGTATGCAAATGAGCAACAGTCTGGTGCCTGGATATGCGTTACGCATTAGCGTTTGTTTTTGTATGCGGTGTCTGGGGTATAAACAGAGTCAATTCGAAGCAGCGCGAGCACGGCGTGAGTTACGAAAACACAATTTTTTAAATCAAACTGTTACGATCTTATCGAGGCAACATGCAGTATCATATTTTATATTAATATGTGCAAATTGGAAAGGAAATTAGTATTTTCGAGAAGGCGTGGACGAATGATGGCGAAAACACGTACTGCACGTTGTGAATAATAGCACCAAGTACACGATAAAAATCCATTACTAGCCAATTGCGGTATCGAATCAGGATACAGGAAGAAAGTTTCCTATCCAGGGTTTACTATTGGAAACGCGGTTGGAAATAAAGTAAGCACTGGGGACGAGGTTGGCAGGAAGTGGAGACGAGGTTGGACTTTCCCCAACTGACGCATGTGCATTGTATACTGTCTTGTTTCGTATTATTCGACGGCTATTTCCTGCATGTCACAGCTAAAACAGACATCTCTCTCACCGCACTGCACGCGGGCACGAATATAAGAGGAAATCTTATTTTTATTTTTCTGAACAAATAACAAGGACCTACTTTATAAACAAGGAATTCCTAAACAAAAACTGCAAAGCAAATGTGCACCTTACTTTTGAACATTTTTAGGTCTTGTGCTTAAATTTATTCAATAAAATAAATAAATAATAACACAAATGGGTGGATCTGGCTTTCAATTAACCCTTACCCTACTAGACCCTCCAACGCATGCCAATATGTGCCTCAAGAAAATCTCCTATGTTTTTTGCATGGCCCTCCAATATCTGCCATGTCATTTCAAGGGTAACTGGACAGGCACTCCAATACATGCCACAGAGAACAATGAGAGTCCTCTGATAACAAAGTGAGTGCCCCCAGCTGGTCAGTATCAGGCACCCTCCAGGGCCTCCAACTCCTGCCAATTGGAGCCTTCACAGTCAAGATAGTTTATCCTCCATTTAACTGCAGCTGGAGGGCATTGGCATAACCAACTGACATGCAGTAAACTACCCTCAGAGAGTAAGGGTTAATTGAATTCATCAGATAAGAATATTCTTGTCTTTTCACTTTAATATCCATATCCCAATTTTATTTTAATTAAGTTAAAAAATGCAGTCATTACACTTTTCACCTCTTGTGTCATTTATTGGCAAAATTGAACAGTTGCTCTTCATGCTCTAGCTTACACCTGCTACAAAATGTACATGTATTAAAATCAGAAACACATAAATAAATAAAAATGCCAGGCATGGAAAAGATCCTTGCTGATCTTGTTGGTGAACTGGGATATCAATTAAGTTCACCACAAAGACAATCCAGAGGTCTTCTTATGAACACAAATGATGTAGAAGCCGTCCTCCCCACAGGATCTGGGATGCGACATGAAACAGCCGTCAATCTGTCCAAGCGACAACCATAATCGTATGCGTCACCAGTTGATGAAGCAGACGGGTAGCTCGGAGGGCTCCAATAATTTGGCATCAAGTGACCCTGGGTACTTGTCCAGTTAACGTTAAAATGTAATTTCTACACATTCGTATGGGTCTTCATTTTTGGCAAATTACTTCGAAATGACATATCCTGAACGCGCGTGAAGGAAATATAGATTTCTAGGTAAGTACTCAACCTGCATACGAAATGATGTACCGCGGATCGATTTCACTAGGTTCGAAATGATACAAGAGCGTGGCGTTGTGTACAACTAAAATCTAATTTCTACACGTTCGTATGGGTCTTTTTTTTGGCAAATTTCTTCGAAATGACACATCGTTCACGGGTCTATCTTAATCCAAGTTAAGTGGGGCACTAGGGTGTCATGGCGGCTTTATTTCTTTCCGTTGGTTGGTAATTTTTAGGCACAAAATTGAAGTTTCTAGGGATCGAGGGAAATCTTGTCAATAGCGAATTATTGTAAAAGGAAAGCCAAGTTGAAAGTAATGTGTGACAACCCTAGGATTGTAGTTCGTCGACATTCTGACAGTCATTTTCGAACGATTTGTTGATTTTTATGCGGGCGGCATGGGTATGATTGACGAAACCAATGCATAGTCCTACCACATGACTGCCGAAAGACTATCAATTAAAAAAACATAACTATTACCTTCCAGCACGTATGACATAAATCATCATGACAATTTGTTCCACACTCGACAGTTAATAAAATGTACAATTCACTTAAATATTTTAGCTGTTGAAACAACTAAATTATGGGAAATAACTACATGTACATGCACTGAGTGCTTACGATGTGCATGACGAACTAGATAGACGCGCGCGTGTCAGACGCAGATATTTTCCGTGTGCTAAATTGGGCTTGGAAACTGCGTCGTACAATACGCGTACGCATGATTATGTTGAGGAAACACGCACATATTGATTGAACAGCTGCTGCGTAGGAACGTTTATGACGTACATGTTTTGCGCATGAGCAAGAGTGATTGTTTTGCACACT